CAGGCCGAGGTGTTTTGTGGAAGAGCCACACTCAAGGGGCCAGAGAGCCTCATATGGCTTGCAAGCCGCAGTTTGCCGACCACGGGCCTAGACCTACAGATTTTCCTGCAGTCCCTAAGGGAATTGAACTTGGGACTTCCAAGAAGCAACCTGTAATACTGGGGAAACTGCTGTCCACTCGGGCTCCATTTTCCCACAGTAGGAACTGAAGGCTCAGGGGAGACTTATTGGCCTGGTGGAGCAGTTGGTGTGTGGCTGCTCCCCTTATCCTTCTAATGTGGCCTGACTAGGTCTCTGGTGCAGCCGAAGCTTCAGCCTCACTGCCAAGTTCCAGGATTTTTTTCAATGCTGCTTTCCATGAACAGTGGTTGGTTATTCTTGTTAGGACAAGTGAAGTCAGGAACTAGCTATGTCTTACTGATGTCCAGTTAGGTTTTGAAAGTCTAGTGTCAATATGGAGGTAGAGAAGCAATGTTAGGAAAACACAACTTTCATCTGAGTAGAAGGACAGTGGAGTTTGGTTACTTATCTCCTTTAGCCATTTATTCAATCATAAAAAAAAAATATTGGCCCGGACCCACTCTAGGCCAGGACTAATGTAAAGAACAGTGGTGATGTGATCAACATAAAGCCCCTGTCCTCAAGAGGATTATTCAAGGGGTAGGTATGCACTCAGAGTATGATACATACCCTCTACACATATGTTATAAAGTGCGATGAGACAAGAACGTAATTCTGACAGCTGGCTAGCTACTGTTAAAGCTAATTCACATTAATTCATGTATTTATTGTCTGTGATATAAAGGGAAGCTAGAATTCTTAATTAGAGCTCTTTCCCAAGTTTTTGGAGCAAGAGGAAATAAAATAAATTAAAATGATACTGTGAATTTTGTTTAGTGTAGTTTTAACAACTTTTACAAAATCACTGGAGAGCAGCTTACCTTCTCTCATTTTCTCTAGTTTCACATTTATTTCTAAGAAGTGGTATAGACTTATTAGTCATTCAAGATGGACCAACTATGGAGGATCCCAAAGATCAGCATTTCTAATGTTAAGCTGAAGGACCTGGGCTCACTAGGACATGCCCAGGGTCAGGTGAGACAGATGCATTACATTTATTTCATAGGATGTCCCTCCTGGTATTTTAAACAGAATCTTGAACAAGCAAATGGTTTGAAGGGCTTATATATTATTCACTAAACTAGCTGGTTTAATCAAGCCTCATTACTTCAGTGATGTGGTGGTTGAGTACTGATGATGTCTATAATAACATAATGACCTTGATCGACAGCAGGTGTGGAGAAACAAAGCCACACTCTGAAAAGCCATATGAGTCAGCCTGAGGGCATCAAAATGTTAGGCTTTAATACTCTCTGCTGAACTGGTGATACAAACTCAACACCTGCAGCACCGCCATCATTTGCCCAGAGCGTGACATTTAAATATTCCTTCCTTCCCAGAATGGCTGCCCAAGGTCAATTCCCTGTTACCATTGTCTTTATTATTGAATTATGATATAGCAGTGAAAGTCCAGTATAATTTACTATATTCAATAAGGAGAAGGTGTAGTGATTAATTATTAATTTAATACATTTATTTGGTTCTCTTTGGTGAAGGACACTGTTGGAGGGACTGAGGATACAGTAATGAACAAAAATGTCCTTGACCTAATGCAGCTATATTATAGAGAACGGAGATAAATGAATAAGTAAACAAATATATACTTTGGTTTAAGCCAGGATAAATGTTAATAGTGAAAAATGGAGCTAAAATAGAGAGACCTATAAGAAGAAAAAAGAAAGGTGTCACTTTAGATAGGTGAGCAGCAGCACCTTTTTTGAGGAAAGATTATTTGAACAGGATCTGAATAACACTAGGCATCAGGTAAACACCTGGGAGAAAAGCTTTTCAGGCAGAGAAAGCAGCAAGGGTGAAAGCCCTGAGGCTCCTGCAGGCTGGGATTAGTGTTCTGGCAAAGCAAAAAGGGCAGAGTGGCTGGGATAGAATGAGCAAAGGGAAGAGAGGTAGAACATAAAGTTGGAAGGATGACCAGAGCCAGAGCTTGTAGAGTTTTGAAGACTGGAGCAAGAACTACCGTATTTTTCGGACCATAAGACGCTCCGGACCATAAGACGCACCAGTTTTTAGAGAAGGGAAATGAAGAAAAAAAAAAGATTCTGAAACAAATAGCGTCGTAAAATATTTTATGTGCATTAAAACCCAACATCACAGTCATAAACACATGTAATCAACCCTGTAAAGTAAATAGCAGCATTTAGAACCATTTTAGAGCCGGGCAAGCACACAGAGACCACACAGAGCCGGGCAAGTAAAAAAACTTTTTTTTAAAAGTATATGTGTAGGCTATATTTGGACAGTAAGACACAGGGACTTTTCCCCTCCATTTCTGGGGGGAAAAAAGTGCGTCTTATGGTCCGAAAAATACGGTAATATTTACATGTAAGCAATTTGGAAGCCATTAGAGGGCTTGATAAGAGGAATGGCATGATATGATTTACTTGTAAAGGATTGTTTTGGCTTCTCTGGTGGGAATAGACTATAGCAGGATTTAAGTGAGAAGTTGGTAAAAGAAAGTCTTTTAAAAGTGAGAATAAGAGTGCTGAGATCCATAGGCAATGTCTGCCATGGGTGGTTATGGAGGTAGGTGTACACAGGTAAGTAGCACCCATGACAATGTCTCTACCATGGGAGAAAGTTCAGGCTGGGCAGCCATACTACCACTTCCTGGATGAAGGTGCAGGCCAGGTTGAGAGACCCCCCTACCCCAGTGCACAAATGCCATGCATTAGGCCTCCAGTGTGTAAATAACTTGTCAGCTAGGAGGAGGTGGATGGGGAGACTAAGATGAAAAATCCTGTCCTTCAAGATACAAGATATTTGTGACCTTGGCTGAGTGAGTCCTTGACCTCAATGCTTCAGTCCCCTCATTTGTTCAGTAAGCTGATTGGACTCACATGGTATAATTTGAAGAAGAGGACTTGGGAAGTGAGTGGCAGAAGGAAGTGTAACAGGTGAGGAGACTCAGTGTTAAGGAAACCACCCCCACCTCCCTTGCACACACAGTGGAGGAGGAGGCAACCATGTGTCATGGAGGAATCATCAAACCTCTCTTTCTAATAAACAGAAAGAACACACAGAAATCAGATGGATGGGAGGGCCCATGTGAGAAGCTCCTGAGCAATCAGGGTCCATGCTGGTGTGTTAACTTCAGGTGGTACCTGAAGTGAAAAGGCACAGAGAATGAGCATTTGCTTCATGATGTTCACATTCCTGCCTGATTTCCCACACTCTACTCTCAAAGAGGGCAACTGGGAGGACAGAGCCCAGTTCAAAAACTAATGATCTCTCTCAGCCTTCCCAGTCCTCATCATCCTTTGCATTCTGATGCAGGACTATTCAAGTATGAGAAGATAGGAGTCTGGTCCAGGTCCTGTCAGCATCAGTAGGGTGGTTGAGTGAAGCCTTCTCCCAGTCCAGGACCCTTTGGGGGATGTCTGACTACTGGCTTAGACCCAATTCCCACCCCCTTCCCTGGGATTGGGCCTAAGCTGGCAGTCAGACATCCCTCTTGCAGTCTGGTACCCTTCGCTTCTTACCACCCGCCTGCAGTGGAGGTGGGAGAGGCTCTTGCTACTGTTGCTGTGCTTGCCAATCATGAGCCCAGCTTCTGGGTGAGCAGTGCTCCCCCTTAGGAAGCGCGCTGACCACCAGGGGACAGCTTTTGCATTGAGCATCTCCCCCATGGTAATCAGTGTGCTTCATAACGAAAAAACAAACAAACAAAAGAAAAAAACAATTGGTCGTTCTGCTGTTCAGTTGATTTGCATATTAGCCTTTTATTATATAGGATTTTGGGCTTGGAAAGGTTCTTCATAAAATTCCCAGCCTGCCTGAAGCCAGGGACTAAGCCAGAAGGACTCATGTCCCAGGGCAAGAGGCGGGGACTTAGTGATCACATGGAAACAGGCAGTGGAGGAGTAGAAGGAGCATGGGCCCTGGAGCCAGAACCTGAGGCTCAGCACCCAGCTCTGGGCTCCAGTCCAGTGTCCTTGGCAAGCCACCCAAGCTTTGTGCCTCAGTTTCCTCAACTGAAAATGGTGATTCCATAATATTTACCTCATAGAGTTTCCATGAGCCTCAGATCATAACTATACAACTATGTAGTAGGCGCAATTACCAAAACTCTTGATATTTTTTTTTTTCTTCTTAATACCTAAGAACTCTTAGGGACCATTTTCCCTCTTATGATGATAATCATGAGAAAATCTGTTCACTCTTCAGTGATTCTCTTAAGAGGGCTTCCTCCATCGCTTTTACCCCTGCAGATGAGAAACAGAAGTATCCCTCCTCTGAACATGCACAATTTTTTCCTCATCCCACCTTTCTTTCACATGTTGTATGAAATCATGTCACAGGTAGTTATCTTTCTGAGTGTTCCATGAGGACAGAACCCACCCTTTAAATCCTAGTCCCAGCTGCTCTGAGCCAGAGGGAGCCAAGTCTGCAGACACTGGGGTCAGACCAACCAGGCTGTGCCCTTTCCCAGCTGGATGATTCTTATGTAAATTACTATTGAAGTCTAATTTTCAAAAAATCAAAAACATGGCCTTTGTACAAATATATACTGAAAGCACATTGGAGGTTTATTATCATGTTAAAGAAGGACTCAGCAGGATGAGAAAGCTCAGTCAAAGAAGGACTTGAGAATTAGTATAGAGTCCCTAAAAAACAAAAACACTGAAGTAAGATGGCTAAGTTATACACAAAGCTAGTTAGGTAATTAATGCTCTTCGGGGCTATAAAACACAGTAGTAACTTCGGATATTATCTTTTCTACTGAACAATGATCTTTTCTTCTTTACCAGCCAAAAATCATTTGTAACTTACACATCTTCTATAAACCAACATCTAATATGAAGGAGTCTATGTGTAATTAAGTAAATTAAATGAAGGTTCATTTCCTTTAAGAATCAGATAAAATACTTACCTGGCAGGGGTGATATCATGATCATGAAGGCAGTTTCCTAGGGTGAGGCTTATCCATTGCTCTCTGGATGTGCTGACCCCTGCGATTTCACCAAAGGTGGGAACCTGGCTAATGATTTGTGATGATGGGGGCTGCATTTGCACTCTCCCCTATAAAAATAAAAATCGGATAAAACTGGGGAGGGTCTGTGAGACAGTGATCCAGTACTGGAAGGACATTATGTCTTTCTTTTTTCCTCATTTCCAAGTTTTGGGTAATGTTTAATCATTACTTTTCTAAGCCTCACTTCTGTATCTGTAAAATGGGGTGGCAATGTCTATTGGTAGAGTTGTGATGATATGAGACGAGGTATCCAGTATACTGTCTTAGGTGCTAAGTGTTGGCACAGGGCTAACTAGATATTAAAGGTTCAAGCTTTGGAAGGAAAATGACAATTGTGTGCCCATGAGATGTCAAACTCTGTGCTCCATGCTTTCCATATGCTTACATATACCCCATTTACCTTCAGAGTGGACCTGTATGCAGGTAGTATATAGTTCCAGCTTATGTGCAAGGAAACAGATTACCAGGAGGGAAGTGACTTGCCTGAAGATCTCAGATCTAGAGTACATCTGTGATTCTAGAGCTCTCTCCACAACGTGGCTGTCTCTTTAAAAGAAAAATCACAAGACAAAAACTTTCAACATTATTTGAATTGAATGCAAACTGATTAGAAGGATTTATTCATTTGCCTGTTATTCATCCAGATTCTGTTCCTTCCTCCCCGCTTGCCCATCCTAACCCATCCCTGAGCCAAAAAGCCCTTTGCCTTTTTCTTTTTGCCATTCACTCAGCCCTTCAAAGTGGGAAGTATGTGCCTCTGAGTGAAACATTGTGCTGGCAAAATGACACTCTATTTTCCAGGGGCCCTAACAAAGCCTTTTGATTTGAATGTCAATTCTGTGAGCATGATTAAATGTAAGATTCACTTTCACATTCCCCAGCTGCAAAATAAGTTGTACAGTTCAATTAGTTTGCCATGTGGCAGAGGAATACAGCCCCTAAAAGTTGCTATGGTGATGTGATGGGTAAGGATGGTGCTGGGACTGGGGTTGAGCCCAATGAATTTCCAAGGACTGAAACTGGAAGGATGACAGGTTGGGAAGATGGCACTATTCATTTTTCCTTAGAAATGCTGTGTTTCCACTTTTATCCGCGATGCGTGGACTCTCCATCCTGATACATGAAGATAATGTCTTTCCTTCTTGGAGAGAGAATTAGCCACAGGCAGGCTCTTTTTCTCTCTCTGTCTCAAATCATTTTCTATCCTGTGACATTAATTGGGATGTGGAGAGGATAATGTAGGAAAGGAAAATATCAAGGCCTTATAATTTATCTGTAATGGCCTGAGGCCCACATCCTCCCAAACTTTCATTTTGGATGATCTCTTGCTTCTAGCAGAAAAATATCCTTTAGTTCTTGGCAGTGCTCTTCGCTGGCATGGTCCTCTTGGCTCAGTAGGAATTTGAGCAAAGAAGTCCATGAATGAAGTCAGAGCAGGACATGTGGACATCGGAGGAAAAAAGTGTTTCCCATTTGTTGTCTTCAGGGTAGTTTTTAGACAGTGTCCTAATTTTTTCCCCCCTGTTATTTTTGTTATTGAGGGTTTTGATTTGTTTTGTTTTTGTCCCCTTTACTGAGCTCTTAAGTCCATGGTCACAGAGAAGATGTTTATTAATTGATTTACTACAGTACTCCCCACACCCAGCCTAGGGCTCCGGGGTAGTAGGAGGCATTCATGAAGTACTTGTTCAGGAAATGGATGACTGCATCTGAATATGGATTCTGACTCCCCGAAGGCTGGTTTAGTTTTGCTTAGACACCAATTGCCTCTTGGTAAAGGGAGCGTGACCAGCCTCCTCTACCTGTCTTTAGGCTTCTGGCAGGAAATAATTAGTAATGGACATGCAGGAGCTTTTTAAATGGCACAAATTAGAAGGCTTCAAAGAAGTTAAAGGGCTTTCTTGTTGGGATGGACGGCATGTTTGGATATGTGGTATGTAGAGTAATTGCCCAGCCAGGCAAGATCCTCCCTCACGTAAGAGCAGATTGAAGAAGGTGTGTGCAGCACGAGTTTGTCAATATTCTCATTTAAACTGTCCCAGAGAGTCCCACGAGCAAGATGTTCCTTTAAGGTCTTCTGCAGCATCGTGAGAATTCATTAAGGTCGGTAGAATGATTTGATAACCTCGGATAATAGGTGTGACGTGAGTGTAAACTTATATTATTAAAACATGAATTGAATTGTTTTCTGGATGACTTAAGCAGGCAACAGGGTGAAGGTAATTTCAGAAGGTGCTTTGCGGTGCCTGGTGAAGAATGAACGTTGAATTTGGCTGTTGTTCATTTGCTGCTTTTCCCAGAAGGCTACAGTGCAGGCTGTGTGGGGAGGGGCAGGGAGGAAACAGTATTATAGTGAGGAAAATAGGGTTCCCACCTGACAAGCTACAGAGGACATTTGGGCAAAGTATGGACCTTCTCTAGGTCCCTATTTCAAGCAAGAAAAGCACTTTCCAGTCTATTCCACAAACCCACATTTACAAACAGGTAGTTAGACTGGCATGGGAAAATGAAGGGGAGTCTTTGGTCTATTAGATAAATTGAATTTGCGTTTAAAATTAAACAAGTTTGCCTTAGGACCACACTTCTGGAAGCTTTTAATGAGTTCCTGTCAATCTTATGGGGAAGAAGAGATGAGAGTTGTGTTGCATTTCTTCTCTTTCATTCATTTAAAAAAAATATTTTTACTGATTTCAGAGCGGAAGGGAGAGGGAGATAGAAACATAGATGATAGAGAATAATTGACCGGCTGCCTCCTGTACACCCCCTACCAGGGGATTGAGCCCATAACTTGGGCATATGCCCTTGACCAGAATAGAATCCAGGACTCTTCAGTCCTTAGGCCGATGCTCTTTCCACTGAGCCAAACTAGGTAGGACTATGTTGTATTTATTAAATTATTTTATAATTTTTTTCGTTAACATCTCAAGTAGTCTTTGACAACTTTAAGAAATATTGCACCCCAAAATGATGTCTTACGTGACTCGCCGTCTACAAGTCACTCAGGGCAACCTCCCAAGACACTACTATAATTTCAGTGAGACCACATTCTTGCACTTATTAGATCAAACGATAATAAACAAACAAGCAAGTGAAGAAATAGGCAAATCCAGCATGCACATCCAGAATATGCTCCTTTGACATCTCCTTCTGAATTCCTCCACGGTTTTTAAAATCAGCCTGTCCAGAGCCAAACTCAAAATCCTCCACATCTGTGTCCTGCCAGTCCCAGACTCCATATGGTGTTCCCTCTTCCAGTGAGTGACACTGTCACGCCCTCTGTGGCAGCTTCTCCTCTCAGTCCTCTCATCTCCCAATCCTCACTATTAGTCCTTTTTACTTCCTATAACCTCTCAAGTCAATCACTATCTCCGTAGAATATAAGTGCTGGCTGGCATGTGTGGTGTTTATGATCTAGCACACATGGTCTTTAATTCCAGGGATGGGCATTTATCCCAGTGAACAGAGAAGGGTATTGAGTATTGAGGCACTGGGAACTTAAGGAACTTGCCTGAACCCACATCCCCAGCCTATCACAGCTAAGCTAGGAGATAGACCCAGCTCTAGAGTTCCCTTTTGAATACATCCTTGCAGCCTCTCTGAGAGCAATTCAAGTCTAAATTTCCCCATTGTTCAAATGTGATTTTCACACCAATCCTGCCTTGCCTGCATTACAGTATTGATATAAGTATAAAATTCAGGGGAGAGATGCATAGCACTTTAGAAATATAAAAATGGCTTGACAAAGGCAAGCTCTTATTCAACTAAGCTACAGAATTTAAACAGGCCAGGAGAGTGCATCTCAATTGGCATAATCTCTGTGATAACAGCTCCAGACAATCTTGGGAAAGAAGGTGCTGAGAGCGCTGTCCATTTCCTCAAATAAGAACTCTCACAAAATTCATGAAAGGCAGGCAACATTAAGCTATTGGAACTGCATTTTCGATTTCTCAGATGGGTTGATCCAGAGCCAAAGCCCAATTTTTTAACTATAGAGCTGTTAAATAGCACACAGGGCATCTCCCTCATGTTACAGAAGTGGAAACTGAGGCCTGTAGCAACCTTAGTCAGGTCAAAACCATAAGACAAGTCACAATTCTATTTCTTTCTCTTCCCCACAATGCCAAAATTAGGCTGCTTTTCAGAGCTTTTTCTCCACTTTATATAATCAATCTCTAAATTCCTAAAGCTGAGACTCGGGTTCTCCTTTGATTGGCAAGAGGCCTCTGGCAGCCCAAGAGGAGCATGCATGGCCTGCGGCATTTGCCTTGGGGAGAAGGAGAGCTCCAGGTGGGGCTGGCAGACACAGCCATGCTCTCTGCACATTCTTTGGGCAAAGCATCTTGTGTATGCTCCCCAGGGTCTGTGAGTTCGATAGCTGGGATATAAAGTGAAGCCTCAACATAAAAAGGAAATAACACCAGTCAGAGCCATTACTACATCATACATAGTGGATTCTCCACCTTTGTGCCCAAAAGCTCATGCCACAGCCATCCTTTTAGGTTTGGACCAAATGTTGTTTGAAGATCCTAATTTCTCTCTCCAATATTTACAATTGTGTCTTTTTAACTTACATAAGCAGCACTGCCCGCCATGAGAGAAAAGCAGTGTGTGAAATTTTGGAATGGGCCTTAACAGCCTGCTCATCAACACCCCAGTCCCTCCTTACAACCCTGACAATGTGCTCTTGGGGCCTCTTCATTACCAAGAGATGGCGTGCAACCCAAACACCTAGAAGGGCAGGCAGAACAATAAACACTCTAAGCAGGCTGAATGTGAGAGTGAATACCCATTCTATAGGGGCAGCCATGACCCTCTTTTGCTGCCATTGCTATGTGGCATTATAGCCCCTCAGCATTGTCAGATGCTTCAGTTTAAGAGTAGTCCCCAATCCAGATTTTGGGGGTCAAAACTCCTGACTGCAAGCCAGATGCAGTCCATAGGTGGACAACCTCTTGTTTATTAACAGACTGGAGGCCGGGGCCACAAATTCGTGTTCAGGTAGGGTCCCTTGGGGTGGCCTCTGGGGATCAGGCTCAAACCCGCAGTCC